GTAGTTACATATATACACTAAGTTTATACCTCTATCTGTAGTTTTGCTTCCTAGACCTCTCCTGCTTCCTTTTACCTTCCTCCTGCCCCACCATCACACTCACCCTTCTTCTGCCTCTTAGTAATTCCTGTTAGATTGTTGTTGTTCCAACACCACTGGCCCCTCTATGTCCTCGTTTTTGCTTTTCATTCCCTAGTTGTTTCCCTGTCTATGACATTGTTTGCGTCCTCCTTCCCCCAACAAGAGGCAACAAAAACACCAAAACTGAAAAATCACATCAAATATATATACACGATGTGATTTATCTTGCATTTTTAATATTTTGTTATGTTATAGAAAATAGCAATAATATTTGGACCAGATGAACAGCCTTTAGTGCTTGGGTAGCACAAGCATTCTGGAAGTTTATGAACGCTTAGTTGGTTTTTATACTCGTGGAAAATAAAATAAAGATGTTCCAGTGTGCATAGGATTGCTATGGGTCAGAATGGCACAGAAGCACCACTACAACCGCAACCCCGGTGTGCATAGGATTGCTATGGGTCAGAATGGCACAGAAGCACCACTACAACCGCAACCCCGCAGATCGCTGTCATTTCCCCTGGTCATGGTCCTTAGTGAAGTTATGATACACGTTTTATGAACTCTGTATGTGAGAAAATTATTTTATCTTCATCCTCCAGCATAAGTGCTTTACCTTAGGAGGCAATGGATGGGGACAAGGCCTGGACTCTCCTGACTATCCAAGGAGAGCCGAACTGCACACAGCCCAAAGTATATTTCTTTGAGACAGTGTGTCATGCCTCCACCCTTCACTTCTTTACCTTCTTCTGACACCAACTACCCTGTTTCCCTGAAAATAAGGCAGTGTCTTATATTAATTTTTGCTCCCAAAGATGTGCTAGGTCGTATTTTCGGGGATGTCTTATTTTTCCATGAAGAATACGGTACACATTTATTGTTTTATTAAAAGAGACCTCGCACTTCCTGTCTGCCCCGGCTGCGCTGTGGCCAACAGTGAGCTGTGTGGCAGCGCCCACTGCTACGGTCCAGAGTACTGGTAGCTTCGGGGGGCCTTGCTTTCAGGGGATGCCTTATATTTCAGCGAGAGGCAAAACTGTAAGTAGGTCTTACTTCCGGGGAAACAGGGTATTAATAATAGTTATTTTTTTCTGAGGGGTGTGTGTGTATGTCTTTTATGGAAGTTATGAGGTAAAAACAAGTTCAGATCAGAAAACATCACACACCTTTCCTGATTTATACAACTATCTCTTGACCCGTGTACAAGTTCTGTATGAGCACATGTTCTGGAATTCCCATTCTTCTTAGTTATACATGGTTTGTTGTGATCCACAGTCAAATGCCTTGCCTAGTCAATGAAAGACAAGTAAACATCTCTCTGGTTATTCTTTCAGCCAAGATCCATCTGACTTTAGCAATGATACTTGTTCCATGTCCTTATCTGATCCTTAGTAGGGCTGAAACACAAACACTAAATCACCAGGCGGCCTGAGCTACCCATCCTGAAATTAGTAGTTCTTAGTCACAAAGTTGGATGACACAGTAGCACTCCATCATTAAAGGGAAGCAGTACATATGAGAATGGGCTTAGGCAGGACCTGAAGGCACAAGTTGCACGAGGAAGTGCCCCAGCTATCCCACTCTCTACTCTATATGCACTTTCCCTTTCCCAGTCTGCACCTACAGCCACGAATTGTTCCTTATCATCAGTTGACTTGAGAAAATTCATACCTGGTTTATATATGGTTCTGCACTGATATGCAGATACCACTCAAAAATAAGCAGTAGCAGCACTACAGCCTTTTTCTGAGACTCCCTGAAGCATAGTAGTGGACATTCCAATGGACAGAATTTTGAGCAGTGGACCTATTTGTTCACTTTCTTGGAAGGGGAAATGGGCACATGTGATTGTATTCTTAGGCTATGGCCAGTGGTTTGGCAGGATCCTCAGGGATTTGGAAGTCACACGAAGGAAAAAATGGTGACAATGAGGTATGAGGAAGAGTTATGAAAACAGACCTTCTGAACACCCAAAATGGTGAAGATATTTGTGCCTCATGGGAATATTCACCATTGGGTGAACTTAGTAGATTTTAATAACATATTCTATGGAAGCCAATCATCCTCTCCTAGCCACTCCTGCCATTGCCCAATGGGCTCATCAACAAAGTGGCAGAGAGGGCCGACTTGGGTGCTGCCACTGCTGAATGCGTAATCTGCCAGCAGCACTAAGTCCTTGACAGGAAACTTCTCCTGAGGTCTACTAGGCAGCAACCTGGTAGCAGGATGATTACAAGGGACCACTACTATCATGGAAAGTGTAGCCTTATCCTTATTGGAATAGACTCTCATATGGGTATACATTTGCCTACCTTGTATGCAATAATTCCGCCAGAGTTACCATCTGTGGACTTACAGAATGGTGGCCGAATTCATCCTGGTATCCCACAGTATTACACTGGACAAAGGGACTCACTTCACAGCAAATGAAGTTTAACAATGAGACCACGCTCGTGAAATTCATTGCCCTGGCCATGTTCCCCATTATCCTGAAGGGCTGGCAATACCTTGCAGGTTTGGAATGTCCTCCAAGAGGCTCTTAACCAATAAATATATGGTGTTTTCTCCAATGGCCAGAGATCGTGGGTCTAGGAAAAGGGGTGGAAATGTGTGTTGTCACTCACCTTAGCAACCTAGTCACTCCTAATGGCCCACTCACAAAAGTTATGCCTCCTGTCCTTGCAATCCAGTGTTCTCTGGGTCTGGAGGTGTTAGTTCAAAGGAAAAAATACTCTCTCATCTAGAGAAACAATACTGATTACACTAAAGTGGAAGTTAAAAATGCCTCTTGGCCTCTTTGGGCTCCTCATGACTCTGGATCAGCAGGTGAAGAGAGTTATTATCTGGGTTAGTGCCACTGATCCTAATTAAAGAAGATATTGGATTGGTAAAGATCCATGGTGGTGCCACAGGTTAAGAGCTGGGCTGTTAACCACAAAGTAGGTGATTCAAACTCCCAGCCACTCCAAGGGAGAAAGATGAGCCTACCTACTCCCATAGAGACCTAAGTCTTGAAAATCAGACATAGGGCGGATTTAGGTCAGAAATGTCTTGATAGCAGTAGGTTTGGTCTGGGTATTGGTTTAGTATTATCTAATAGAGGCAAAGAAGTTGTCTGGAATACAAGCGATTCTCCAGGGCATCTCAGTACTAGCATGCCCCGTTAATTCAAGTAAATGGAAAACTATAGCCACCCAATTCTAACGTGATAACCAATGTCTTACCCCATCAGGCAAGGAACCAGGACTAGTTGAGGTGTTTACTAGAGCAAATAGAATATAGAACGGGTGGGGGGAAAAAGTAGTATTAAGTACCAGCTACAATATGGCCAGTTGCAGAAAAAAGGGCTGCATTGTTATGTTTCTTTCTTATATATGTGCATCAAATATCACTCACATAAAATCTAAGATGTAACCAGGTTAGTGTGTTTTTAGTTCCATGCTAGCTGCAAATATGACTTTACAATTGTCTTTAGAGATCATGTGTGGTTTAAGGAAAGGTGCACAAGTGCCAAGTTGACCAGGAGCACATAGTTATGATTGTGTGTCAATGTGACTAGGTCATGATTCCTAGTGGTTTGGCTATTATGATGTAGTTTAGTAGTCATGTAATGATTTACTCGTTATCCACAATGAGATCTAATATAAGCATCTTCATGATGCGACATGCTATAAGCTGCCAATCTGTTCAGTGGGGATTTCCTTATCCTGCATCCAATTTAAATGACTGTTTTGCCAAAGTTCTGTTTTTTTGCTCTATCTGGATTCTGAATCTACCTCATCATCATCTTAATTCTGGTTCTTTGAACTTGAGCCAGTGGCCTACAGTATTGCCTGCTGCTCTTGGGATTGACTAACCCCTGCAGCCTGCTGTCTGACTTGTTGATATTGGGTTCATCAGCTCCTGCCATGAGCCAGAAGAAGCCTTTAACCTGGTATTTGATGCAAACTTGAAACATTCCAGCATCTACATTAAGCATTTCCTTGACAGAAATCTCTTTATATTACATATATAGCCTGAACTGACTTTAATTCTCTTGAGAACATCTCCAAAGACACTCACCTTAAGGCAAAAGGCTCTGCCGTTTCTGCCACTCAAGATCCACATAGCACAAAAGGTTATTTAGGCACATGCTCTGTGCTTCCTACCAGCATACTCAAAATCACAGGCACTTTTCATATGCATGCCCATCCGTTGAGCTGCTTTTCTTTTTCCTTAAGCTAAACAAAGTATCAGATACTGCCTCTTTCTTTCTGTACATTTTAATGACTCAGCAGAGTCTAGCAGGTCCCTTTTAGGGATCCTCCTAGTTCAGATCTTCCTTTACTGCTTGCTTCATCCTACCATACTACCGTCCACTGGGCTGTGAGCAGTGACTTATTTAGATGGGGTAGGCACTCCTTCCAGCCCAGTCTGGGCTCCTAAATTTGTGGCTACAAAACTCTTGGAGGAGGGAGGGGTAAGGAAAAGGAGGGGAAATGTCATACAAAGCTTCACTGGGGAAAGTGCTTTACAAACCTGCATCACATAATACGAAGGAATTCTAATTTGAGGCAAGAGCTTGGATTCCAAGTGCCAGCCACCAGTCTGAAAGATGCATCTCCTTCTACACAGCCATTTATTTGGCAACTCCCTAAGTCTTTTTCATAGCTCTTTAGGCCAGACATTATATTTTAAAAGAAAGAAAAGGCTATCTTCTAAAATAAACCTATCACCACCAAGGTGATTCCAACTCACAATGACCCTTGTAAGACAGAGAAGTGGCCCTAGGGTTTCCGATGTTGTTGTCTTCACAAAGCCCGCTCATCTTTCTCCCGCAGAGCAGCGGGGTCAGAACTACTCAGCCTTCAGTTAGCTGTCAAGCCTTCTGACCACTGTGCCACTGAGGTTCCTAGTGGGAGGGAGAAATCAAGCCACAGTCATAAGAAAATTTCTTTAATTTTCATCTTTTGGAAATACACTTCTCATTATTTCTACTATACAAAAACGTTAAAGATCTAATTGGAAGCAGATGTACAGAAGCAGACTCACGACATCACCTGTTGCTGCAGAGCGGGGCTGACTCGTTATGGCTGTCGTGACTGGATGTGCACACTGCACACACACTACCACACATGTGCACACGCACTCTCATGGGATACACTTCACCCCCAGACTGCTACCCACTCAAACCAACCAGCCAGGAAGGAGAAAGACAAGATAACATGGCTTAGATGCTGGGCAAGTGAGTGCCGTGCTGCCATATCAACACAGAAGTTGCCTTCTTTACTCTCACACCTTCCAGAGATAAGCGAGCTTTAGGAACACTCGCACGAAATCAGTTTAATCTAAAGGTGAAGGTGGATGGTCAGGTCCTTGATTGCGGGGGTGGGTGGGTGGGGGGGTAGGGGGCACAGCATTGGAATGCGTTTTCCTACTGGAGAAGTTAATAAATTCAGGCAGCTCCAGTAGGGAGGGAAGCAATTTCTTGAGTGGGAGATGATAAGAGTGTGTTTCATTTGCCCAGCAATCTGAGCCGGAAATAATGGGTGAGAGCTTCTGCAGGCAGGAAAGAGACGAACTAAAATTCGTGAGCAGCCTCCAGGAACGCCAGCCCTCTCTGCGCTGCTCACTGTCACCATGCTACCTCAGGTGGCTTCTTAAAGCACCGATTCAAAGCAACAAATACTTTGCTTAATCCATCAACTGGCTAATGATATCCACGTTCGTGACAGCCTGCAACTCTGATGGATGTTCCACAGACAGTTTAAATTCAACAGGAAACAGAGAAGGACGGTGGGGGCAGGGGGAAGGGGAAATGGGACAAAACACAAGCACAAAAAAGCTGGTTTTGCTTTTTGTTTTTTCAGCACATACACATTCTGTTTCCAACTCCTCCTGCACCATGTTTTATTAAATTCAATACATATGGCTTCCAAACACTATCCGATGGCTCTTTCTTGGGCACAGCACCGGTGACTTGTCTCACTCAGGTCCTGGCTACCATGTATCGGGGACTTCAAAAAGCTTGGCCGAGCTGCTCAAGATGCTTCCTGGTGGGAGGAGAAAACAGCATGAACAATGAGAGCGCACCACGGAGACCACGGCCAAGACAGGCTTCCCACTGGGGCAGTGGGGGCCCATCTGCAGCACCACAACCAGAAAAGGCTCACAAGTCAGCTTGTTGAAGGAGATCATGGACCAGTCAATGAAGGCGGAAACCACCGAAACACTACGGAGTCCTCCCTTCTCCAGAGTCCTTATTTCCTCATTTACGCTCTGTTGTATTTATCTAATTCAAAGTGGCCCCTCAGCACCAAGTAGAACTACCCCATAAGGTTTCTGAGGCTACAACCTTTACGAGAGCAGAAAGCTGCATCTTTCACCTGAGGAGTAGCTGGTAGGTTTGAACTGTCAACCTTTCAGTTAGCAGCTAAGTGCTTTAACCACCACACCACGTAAAATGTGGATGGTCTCAAGATTTCTTTTTAGAACATGTACCTTGTCATTTTTCTAGGTGCTTAATCTATTTAACCCTCAGAGTAGCTTGCCACGGTTGTGGTCCTAACCCCGTTTTACAGACACAAGAACAGACTCAGAGTCTAGGAACGTGACTCACACACGTAGGAAAGCAGCTGGAGGCCTTGGGTGGTGCAAATAGTTGATGCAAGAACTCCTGGGGGCTGGTGTCAACAGAGTAGAAGGAAGTCAACCAGGGGGAATACAAAGAGCCCAAAATGGGCACAAGAAGCTTGTGGCTTTTTGTATGTAATATAAACATGTATTTGCTTATAATCAAGAAAACAGGAACAAAGTACATAAACTTCTAAGCTATATGACCAACCACCTGGAGGGAACGAATCACTGGGCCTAGAAGCTTGGAACTATAGTAGTGGGGGCACCAAGGCCAATGCGCCTAACAGTCCACACAGACAATGTTCTACATTCTACTTTTGTGAGTAGCAACTGGGTTTAAAAGCTTGCGAGGAGCAGCCAACTAAAATACTACAACGGATCTCTCCCTGTAAAGAAGGGTGAAAAAAATTAAGCATGCATAGGACCTTCACCCAATTCATAATCAAAAGTTAAAATTGAATAAAACAAAATAAAACTTGGTTAGGGAAAAAGAAGTGGCTGTTGGCTTTTCCAGTTTCAGCAGCTTGGCTAAGATGATCTTGGATTATAGATATGCAGGAGATGATCCACGTAGAAAAAGATTCACATGATCTAATTAGAAAAGGAAAAAGATGATGGGACAATAAAACAAGGCAGGCTCAGAACAATTCAACACTGCAGATGGCCTGGGACCACATGTAACCTGACTGACCTTCTCTATCTCATATATTCATTCAGACAATGCCAAGTTGTAGGGAGAAAAAAACATGCTGACAAGGACATTCTTATAGCTCACATATCAAAGAAATATTATAGTCATTCTAAAAGTAAAAACACCAAAGCCAGCCTTGGGAAATTGAGACAGTAAAACCAGCTGAGAATGAAAAACGTACATTACTGAAAGCAATCACATCTTCTTACCTATAACTTGTACCTACTATGACTGGTGGGGCGGGGGGTGGAGGGTGGGGGGGAGTGGAAGCCCTGGGTGGTACAAATAGTCAAGTGCTCAACTACTAGCTGGAAGGTTGGCAGTTTGAACTCACCCAGAGGAACCTCTTAAGACATGCCAGGCAATATGCTTGCATAAGGTCAAAGACCCTTAAAGACCCTTGAAAACCCGAGCAGCTCTGCTCTGCGCACACAAGTCACTGTGTGTTAGAAATGCCTCTGTAACCACCACAAGTGATGTGAGTAGGGATGAGGGAGCAGGGGAAAAGGAGCATGAGGACAGAGCTGTTTACAGAAATAATAAAACAAAATCAGCAAAAGTGCTAGCCCAAGGTGAGTCTGCTATATTTTATGAGCTGGATGACTCTGAACAAGTCTCATTTCTTCATTTGCAAAATACACCTAATACTACTTTTACTTCATGGGTCTTCCGTGAATGCTATTGCTAAAAAAAAGTCCAACAAAATTTTAATCAATTGTGTAAAGCGCATTTGTACATCGTTTCTCAAAACATTTGATGTGTGTATGGATTGGGATAACAGTTGTATGAGACCCTAATAAAATGTTAAAAAAAATTTTAATCACATGAATTATGGAGTTGACATTATAAATATTTGACAGAATTTCTGAAATCAGAAAAAAATATGATGCTAGCGGTTAAAAGATGATAGACATAGTAAAAGCACTTATTAACAAGAGTATCAAGGGCCAGTATTATAGGTGGTTTCTTCTTTTTCTTCATCTTACAAGTTTTCGTAGTGAATAGATGATTTTTACTAACAACAAAAGAAACTTTAAAAACATCACCCTTTGAGGTAACAAACACAAAAAATGGTGTTTTCATATGTAGTTATTTTTTTCAACTAACTGGAATTAAAAAGGGATAAAACTGAAGAGATGTTTCTTCTTCCAGGCGAATTAAAAAACTACATAGAGCACCCCAGAAATTTGCATTTGCAGCATTTTTTACAGGGTGGGATTTGATATGAAACAAGATCCTTGGGGGTGCCTGCCATGAGTAAGTATTTTAACTCTACAATCTCAGAGGCCCTAGTAATGAAGCAATTTCCCCACAGTAAGAAGATGATCGCAAATCATCAAACCACTAGCCAAAAATTTCCCCGGAGGTCATCTTTAAACTGTTCAGAAAAAAAAATTAATAACGACTGGTGGGAGCATGGTGCTCACTTACGGAATCGTCTATATATGAGCACGTACAGCAGAGATGATCAGTCGGGGGTGGGGGGTTGGTGGTGGTGGTTAGTCTGAGGCCGTGGTGATGAGACAATATGGGTAGAGAAAGCGAAGCGATTCAATGTAAAGAACCAAAGTCACTGAATCATGCAGGCGTAATGCAATGAAGGAGCATGTTTGTGCCGTGTTAACTTTTCACCATCATTTATAAAAATAATGAAGGCTTGTAGGAGGTCCTGGAGAATAGCCAGGAGGAACAGGGGAGGTCTACATAGGCCTGTAGCACACGCCTCCCAAGCCTGCAGACATATCTCATCTGCCACCTTGAGGCGAACGTTGTCATTATAAAGACTGGGAGGCTGTCAGTTTCTCAGATGGCCAACAGGAGCAGCCGGAGACCTTGTTTTAACTGACAACTCACTGCCATCCAGTTAATGCCACCCCATAGTGACCTGAAAGGACAGGGCAGAACTGCCTTTGTGGGTTTCCAAGACTGAGTTATAGAGTCTTTATGGGAGAAGAAAGTTAACCTTGGGATTAGCAGCCCAACAAATAACCACTACGTCACCAGGACCCTTAAAAGGTTTAAAGTGCTGTATTTTAAACCTAAGGAAGAAGAAGACTTGGAACAACATCTCTATTTACATAACCAGAAAACTCCACAAAGTCAATGTGATATAGGGAAGTGGAAGAATTTGCGTGCTATTAATCAATATTAGAAATGTAGCATAGTTTGTTGAGATTTAGTTATAAGGGACCCAGGATGGAACAATACCCTTCCCCAGAATAAATTCTGTTTAAACCTGTTAATTATTCAAGGCCTGGGTCTGTTGAAAACCCTGTTAATAATTCAGGATGCTCCTAATTCAAGAAAGGGGAAGCAGGGCCACTAGATAAGCATGGAGACTGAGACCATGAGGGGTACCGGTCTGACACCCCTGAAGTAATGAAGATATTTACTGATGATCTGATAATCCCTTTAGGAGTCCTGGTGTGGTACAGCACTTACAAATCTCCAGGAGTCCTCTTGGGAAAAAGACAGAGCTTTCTACTCCCATAAGGGGTTACAATCTAGAAGCCCACTGACCTAATGCTGAGTAAGGAAGTTTGGGTTTTGATTTAGATATTCCCTTGTAGCAATGTAAACTGTTTCCTGGGAAACTTACTCCCCTTTGTTCTTTTAAGGCCCTCCAGTCACTGTAAAACTTGTTAACTACTCCCCAACCCCCAACCTGCCACAAAGGTTAGGGTACATAACTTGTTTGATTCTTACTGGATCTTTGAAAACCGTTCTGGAAGAAGAAACGGGGCAGTTTTCTTTGTAAGTGCTTGCAGGAATAAGCTTAGAGTACCTCCAAGCAACCTGGTCTCTATGCTGGCTACAGTAATAAACTGTCCCTGGCCACTCTGCAACAATGGAGCATCCTCTGTCACACACTAGCCAACATGTCTCACAATGTGCTGATGGACAATCCAGCCAGTGAACCAGCCAGTGCTTACTGTGAAGAAGATCAGCCTGGTCAGCCGCGGGCCACTCTGTTGGCCATGTGATTTCCTGGCAAAGGCAGAGGGTGAGGCCTAGGCTGGGGTTTCTCTGGACTCCCACCATATTTGGGCAAGAACAAGTGTGCTGTAGACACTCATCTATTATATGTCCATTGAATGGAAATGACACCTTTCCCTAGAGAAACTGTATTCAAGCACAAGTGGATTGTGGAACTGTTTTCTGTTATGGACCCACTGAGAACAGTATCTTGAGTTCCTCAGAAAACTGGTATCCCGAGTTCTTCTTAGCTATTCTCTGGGACCTCCCACAAGCCAGCTAGAGGTTGGGGGATGGGGTAAATGTCTTATATGTGTACATGTGCGTGAAAATACACACAGCACAACATATGCCCATTCAGTAGATGACATCATGAAACAACAGTAATAACAATACACATAAAAATAGAGGAATTACTTCCACTATCTTTTCATCCCTCAGTCAGAAGCAGCCTGGAGATACTTCTGGAAGATTCATCACGATGGCTGGCTAAGGAGAACCCCAAGTCCAGTTCAAACTCATACTGGTGGGTGAAGGGGGTACTGGAAAAAAGACATTTGTGAAGTGTCATTGCCTGGTGAATTTGAGAAGTGTGTAGCCACCTCAGGCATTCAGGTCCATCCCTATGTGTTGCATACTAACAGAGGACCTGTTAAATTCAATGTGTGGGATACAGCTGGTCAAGGGAAACTGGAGGACTGAGAGACAGGTATTACAGCCAAGCACAAGGTGCCATTATAATGTCTGACT